ATCAAAGGCAACCTCCAGCCTGGAAAGACTGCTTGGGTTGTTTCACAGTCCAGGGAGCTTCTTCAGCAAGACTCAACAGCAGTACAAAGCCACGTCAGCCATTGTGAATCCACAGCCTGTTGCCAATAGCAACGCTTCTTTCCTCCTAGCCGCGGGACCTCTGGGTAGCATCGCTAATTGTCGAAGTGGTCTGTTAAGTAGTGGTTCTCAGAGCCAAACCCAGAGCAGCCCTGACCTTCTTAGAGGTGCTCTATCCTCACAAACTTCCACAAAGGAAATGAAGACATTTGTCAAACAAAGCCCCGGGGTATCAAGGAAAGAGATAAAGACTTCAAATTGTGGAAACCCCATTCCAGATATTATAAATAACAACAGCAAAATCCAAGAAGAAACAATTCCAGGCAGTAATGATGGAAGTGATGAGAATAGATCCAGGCTTGAATGCAAGAAAGAGAGTGAATGTATTATGGGACATTGTGAAGATGAAAATTATAATGTTAAAAAACTGTGTGAAGCTGTTTCTGAAGATGATGATGATATGAAATCAGTGTCTGAAACTGTGACTTGTAGGAGTTTCAACGTAGGAATACCAGCTGTGGCAAAAGATACTTGTGATTCTAAATGTGACTTAAGTTCAAAGAGTAGTCAGAATACAGATACATTAGAAGCAGATGATATTGAGACAGGATTAGAATCGTTAAAGTTAATGGATACCTCTGATACCATAATTGATACATCACAGTGCTCAGATAAAGAAAGTGGCACAGATTTCAATGTAGAATCAAATGCAATAAAACGTTCTCCCACTAATGGGATAAATATTAAACCTATGCCTTGTTGTATAAGAGACAACAATCAGTTCAGTGTTGACTTTACTAATAGATCTCCAGCAAACAGTGCTCTGACTAATGATAAATTGTGGTCTCGAAATTGTGACTCTTCTTTCGTTAATGTACAAAGTGCAGCAGCCACAGTGCGGTTAGTGGGTGGTGCTTCAGGGTTTACCAGCTGTGAGATAAACACACAAAGGGAGGATGGAGCTAGTAGCTGGCCATTACCAAGTCATGTTGGTAAGTACATTGAAACCTGTACTAAAATTGTGATAAGTTGCATCTTGGAACTGATTGTCAAATGGCGAGAACTAACCCAGTTAGCGTTGATCAGACTTTGCTGTTGGTACTGTATGCATGCCTGTTCATAAGATGTATAATGTTCTTCGCATTGCAGTGCATCACAAATTTGAGCTCTTTTTCTGCCAAAAAAAAGTACTCGTCTGTTATCTTGTTTGTTTCCAACTGTTAGATAATATTCGGTGTACTAGACTTGATTATTTTGGCGCTTTGGTATTTAATGTTGTACTATAGTTCACATTTCAGTGTGTTTTCTACAATATGTTAAGATGAAGATTTGTATGAATTTCTTACTCGTTACTACAAGTACGTCGATTTTCTTTACGTAAAGAATTTTTTTAAAAAAATTATCATCTCATCTGCTGCTCACGTACAGTGCTGCATGTGCTAATGACTTTAAAACCTTAATGTAAAATCTGCATGTGCTAATGACTTTAAAACCTTGATGTAAAATAAAGTTTTCTAGGTAAAAATTGTGTCAGATACAAGCTATTGCAGGAACAAATTTAAAATAATATGTACGTCTGTAGTAAATTTGTGCACATTTTAGTAGACTTTATATTTGAGCATATGATAGTTTAGTATTTCTAAATAAATATTGTTAAAGATAATGGAAATTTGGTACTAGTTTTTAGGAGTATTGTCAGGAGTTTCATAGCCCTTGGGCAGTGGCAAAACTATTCTTGGTTCGAGGGAGGAACAAATTTGGACCAGTTACTCATTGAACTCGAGCCATGTAAACCTAAGAACAAAAGTATGAACATATTTTGTGCAGACGTACACTAATTTTATAATAATACATGAATGGATGTGCTATGAAATAATGTACTGTATTCTAGTTTGCTGTCTTGTGGAAAGAGTTGAGGAACAGTGTGTTCCAGAGGTTCAAAATATTAAGAATATTTTATTTTCAACACTTTATTCATGTTTTGTCCTTGGCTCTTTCTTGTAACTGTTCCTGAGTTTTAACAAGACAGCTTGGAAATTCTCACACTGTAATTACCAGTAGGGGGATTACATCTATACCAATTCAGTTTGACTGTGTTGCAGTGGATGCATCGGCACAGTCTGCAGGGACAGAAATGGAGATGTTGCACGGTGTAGAGCTGCAACCTAGCAGTACCACGTAAAATGCATTGTCACAGCATGGCGACCAAGGTAGCTTTAATTTGCTCCAAGACGAGGCAAGTGAACAACTCAGTTGGAGTAAATGAACATGATTTGGTATGAAAGATCTTTTGTTTATTGTTTATACAATGCAGAAGACTTTTATTTCTGTGAACAAATGAAAGAAGTGTTATTTTTAATGGAACATGAAATGTTTTAAATGCTAGAGATTGTTTATGAAACAATGCTAGGAATATAAACTTTTATAAAAAGTGTAAAGATAAAACTATACTTTTGTTTGAATCTGTTTTGTGTGTGAATATGAATATATATTATTGTTGTAACCTCCTATTAATTATTCACAAACTAACTTTTAGATGTGTCTCCATCTTAATGATGGGTTGTGTGTCAGATGTTATATCACCCTTTACAAATGTTATACAATATTTTGGTAATTTATTTAATTTACTTGGGATGATTCTGGACAGAGATTATTGCAATATCTGGTTTGTTATCTGATAAATCAGACATACTAGGTTTATGTAAGTAATGTTATATATTTGAGTGAAAATTTGATTATTTCTTGTGTACATAAATGTTTTTATATAAAGCGCTGAGGTCAGTGATATGTGATGAAATTGCATGGATCAGCCTCACTGAAGAGATAGGGCAGGTATCAAATTTTTTTTTTCTGTAAGTTTAGAGGTCTGTGTAATCTTAGATATTTTTGTACATTCTATAATTTTTTTCCTACATAAAAAACATATATATTTCTGTGCACTTTGAAGCTTGACAAATTAAAGTCACTAGTGATTTAAAATGCCGAAGCAAAAGTTTATGAAAGTTTCATATTGCTGCCTCAGATAACAAAATTATTCCATTCGAATCTGAAATTTAATATGACCTTTTTACCTTCAACTTGTATTTGTTTTTTTAATAACATAATGAGAACAATTTCAAGTCTATTTTGTTATTTGCATCATTAAAAGTACTTAAGGTAGAATTAATGTGTGTTTTTTTCTGTTCCTACTTGGTACTCTGTGATCTCGGGTCAAAAATAGAATTTAAAAATGTTTGTAAATTAGGAAGTTGTCTGTCATCAGTGTTAAGATTATAAATATGACACTATACTTGATTGTGTAGTTGATACATTTCCTAAGAGCCTTTTCAGGTTAAAAGACAAAAACTTAAAGATATATACATTTGATCTAAACATTCAAACATATGAAACTATATAACCTTTTGGTTTTATGTGGATGTGAAACTTCATATCTTATCCTAGGGTGGGTCCTAAACAGAGGAAACTAATTTCATGCAGTCAGTTTATAAAGCTGGAATCTTTGGTTTCATAAAAATGCTACTATTTTAAATTGGAGGTCACACACAGAGCCACAGAGTTACGTGCTGTTGTAACACAAAACTGAGTCAAATGGTATCCTACAGCTTTCCTTTCATTGGGACACTGTATCTGCAGCATGGGAAACAGTTGGAAGTTTTCTTAATAACAGATCAATGTTGTCTGTCAGCACTTTAAGCAATGTATTTGTTTGCATGTAATTTCAGTCACGTGAGAATATCTTCAGTGCAGTTTGATGTTGAGGTGGACATGAAGGTAACTGCTCAGGGATTTTGTATTTTAGCCTGATGTGAAGAAAGGCCTTGAAAACTCTAGGCATAAATGGGATGATAAGTTTGAAATGGATCTTCAGGAGGTGTGTGGGAGGGTGTGGACTAACCGAAGATAGAAGTCACTGGCAGGCTGTTGTAAATGTGGTAATCTTCACATTCTGTAAAGGTGGGTAATTTCTTGATAGAGCTACTGTTGGCTTCTCAAGAAATAAAGACTACTCTGTGAGTTAGTCTGTTAGTCTAAGTTTCCGTCTTTGCTGAGTTTGATGTTATGTGTTTGTCATCAAAATACAAAACATATTTGTGTTTGTACATGTTTCTAACAAAATGATTCATATGTAATGGATTGATTCCCTGACTGTGGTGAAGATGCTGATTGTGATCTTCTGAGTTGTGACAGCACTGATACAGCATCATGACTCAGAAGACCACAATCAAACATACATAATTTAATTATTGTTACAACAGCTGTAGTTTGTGGTGCATATATCAGTGCCCTTTTGTCAGACGGTAGCATGGTGCATATGGGACACATTGGTGAGACCCCACAGTTGAATTGTAATCTCAGACCCTGCAGTGCTTGGTAGTTCAAACATAATAATATTTTTATTTAACATGTGAGTGCTATGGCTAATTGTGTGCACTGAAGACAGTTCTCTCTGAACTGTAACATGTACACAAATAACATAAATACACTATTATGTGCAAATGGATAACATAAAGACAGCAGCATTGAAACTGTTACTGTCAGAAGGTACCAGAATTTGAGGTTATGTTAATATGTGTTTACATTTGTATAGAAGGGTCTAATTATGGTCAGAGATGAAGGTGTACCTGCGCATATCTGTGATTGTTCCTGGAAAACTTGGCATTTTTATTTGCTATAAATCAATTCTGTAATTCTTTGATGAGATAAAAATTTCAAGAAATTAACCTAAATGGGAGCCCTTAATATAACTCAGTTCCCTGACGTAGTTTGCGTGTGTATGTACTCTGTTCATAAAGCATGCTGTTACATTATACTGTGTATGTGTGCGCGTGCCTGCGTGCACCTCACACATTGTAATAACACTTTTTTCCCCCATAAAAGTTTGCTTATTTTGGATATGTAAATATATATATATCTTTATGGGGAATAAAATAAAAAACATAGAAACTCAAAAATTATATTTATTTTAACAGTGCCAAGTGATTTAAATAATTTCTAACTGGTATATATATTTAATGTAAATATTCATTATTGGATCATGTTGGTGTTTGTAACTCACAAAACTGACATTGTGTGATAAATATAATTTCAGTATTTTTGTTGTACAGACTGTAAATAGTATAAGATTAACATTTTCTTAAGAAAAATAAAATGTTTTAACTTTTTTAAAATTCTGAGTGGAATACAATTATCAAGTGTAATCTTCATAGAGGGGTATGCGTTTAACAAACATTTATGGGGCTGACTCAAAGGGCTGTGTCTCTGTTATTGATTATGCCTCTGAATGAGGTGATGAGCCTTTTCTGACTGTAATTGAAATGTACAAAGTAGCCATGCCACTGTTATTTAAACTGCGTGATAAGTGCAGATAGACAGAGAAGCTTAGGAGTAATGTTTGTGACAGAATATTTACTGTCTTACAGGAACTGAACTTGGTTTCTTAATTCATAATCTTATTTTTCAGTTTTCCGTCAAATTTCATACTCAAGTTGTATTTAAGTAAAATGAATGGAACTACTCCAAACCTCAATCAAAAGCCTGTAATCCAACCCAGCTTCATAACCCATAATAGGGATACAGCCTCTATATTTCAGTGATTGAACTGTTTTGTGATTAAACCCTTCTTTGTGGTTAATATTCAAGGATGTAACATACTTGAGTAAAATTGCATATTGTAAATATTTTACCTAATAAGTTTTTTTTATTATTTTGTTGCCAAATCCTTGTTGACTTCTTATAAATTGATCTCTTCAGGTTTTCTTTGTCATTTCCATTTACATGTTACTAACCACTCTTGTGGTAAGGTACTGTGTGTTTTATGCATATAGAATAGGTGTGTAAAAAATTTGTGATAATTAAGGCTGATGGGGACTGCAGCATGTAAGTTCACACCACAGAATACTCCATTTATGGGACACAAAACTGACTGAAAAAATGGCAGATCATATCTGTTCTAATTGCATATAATCTTTTGATATGTAAATGTATTAGTGTTATAACCAGTAATTAAATTTAAAGAAGTGCAAGATTAAATATTAATTTTACTGTGGTTTGCGTAGCCTATCACATTCATTTTAATAAGAAAAGTTCCATTAACCAAAAGACTACTAAATTTTATGAATGACATTTAACATTAAAGCCACTTTTATAGTCCTTTCCTATTTTCTGTGATGTGTGGTTACTATGAAATTCAGGTCTTCTATTTTGGTACTGAAATGTTTGAATCATTTCATTTAACTGTTTGTTTCTTTTTCAAATTTGTAGTTAGTATGTGTCCATGGCAACGTGTAATTTCTGCTGTTGAAAAGTCACATGTAGTTAGCTTTAACTGTAGTGAGATGGCAGCAGAAGTTTCTTTTAGTGATATTCTCATACAGAAAATTCGCTTTAGAATGACTGATGTTTTAAGTGAGTTATCTCAAGTTTACATATTTATTTTCTGTATTACCAGTGCAGAATTAATTTCTGTATTACTCTCTAAATCAATTTTTGAAGGGTAATATGATCAGAATGTTTTCCAGGGTGCTCCAGCATATGCTGCTGGATGTACATTCTCTTCCAAACAGGTATAGCAATGGCCCATTGTATATATGTATCTGTAGTGTCATATATGTTCATAAAAACAGCTCATCACTAAACTAACATGGTAACTATGTACACAGTAATGAAATGAGTTCACATTTCCCCTGTTCACACTTGATGTTTTGTGAAGCTTTCTCTGAAAATGCTTGCTTGTTTTATTTTCTGCACCTCTCGCATCTCACTGATAAACTGATTTGTTTATTTATTTTTATTAATAGTTAACATCACTGCACCCCTCATTATACGTAAATACCAGCATATTTCTTTTTATAGAATCACTAGTTTTGAATTTAGTTTGAGCATAAATACAAAGCAAGCTCAGAATGTCTGCTGTCCTCTGGGCCAGACCAGGTCATGCTTATGCTGGCCCCAAATTCTGATTTATTTCTTGATTCAACCCCATAGTTAAGTGGTTTCTGTAGGGTTGATTGACTGGGAAGCACTGAATGCACTAATTCTTTGGTAAATGTATCCAGGTTTTGTGCATGCTGTGTTCGCATGTGTGCGTACTCATGCGCATTCATAAATATGTTTTAAAAATATGTCTCGTGTCTGTCCACCAGTTGAATTTTCATACTGTATTATCATGCTAGTGAGATCCACCATGGCTGTTGTCATCATTCATGTCACTAAAACAAATCACTGTATAATAACAAAATGTCATCTTCTCTCTCTTTTATGTAAAACTGAAATTAAAAAAAATCAGTGTTTTATATTTAAAGGCTATATTTATCCAAAAGAAAAATCTACTGTGATCACAATGTCTAGTTTCTTTGCAGGACTCATCTTGATGAGGAGTTCAAGATATGACCGATCTTCTTGTGATAGTGTTCGGCCATACTTTCCTTATGTGTGTGATGGCTTGAAAGCTGCCTTGTGAAATACAGTGTATATATACGTATTTATTTTCCTGTTGGTTGTGACAATGTGTGGAACAGCATGTGGCAGTCTGTTATGTGTTTTAAAGAAGACACATTTATTTGCAGGTATTTCTTCAAATTTCTGCTCCTGAATCACTGTTTGATTTGAAAAACTGTTTAAATTGGTTTTGTCTCTCTTCAGCTGAAGCGAAAAAAATTCACCATTTGTTTGCACGAAGGATTAACCTTTCAGATCCTGTTTAGGGGTCAGTCCAACATTCAAGAATTCATTTGTCTGCACAGTTTTGCAATGAATTGGATAGACTTAAAATTAAGACGATTAACCTTTCAGATCCTGTTTAGGGGACAGTCCAACATTCAACAATTCATTTATCTGCACAGTTTTGCAATAAATTGGATAGACTTAAAATTAAGATTCATTTGGACTTATGAAAAGTCATGTTTCAGTCTGATGTTTTATTGAGTATGGAAATTTTAAAATATGAACGAAATTGCAATGAAAAGTTACAAAAGTGTTTTTCTTAGCTTCGCCACATCAGTCTCTGTCTCCAGCTCTCTGTACATAACAGTTCAAGAGTTACTGACAGATTTTCATGAAATTTTATACTGAGATCTTTTGAACAAATGTTGTGCAAAAAAATGCAACACGTTTTATACCCAGTACATATTTTCCATATATCTAAGAGCTTTTTGATATAATTAAACAAAATTATACTTTTCCCTGTCCGTCCTTAGTGCTGCACGTGCATTCACATTGCCTGTTTTATGCTATTTATAAGAGAGTAGCAAACGTTAGCATTCATGAATTGATAATCTAGAAGCAATAAGAGAGTAGAATGTGCCAGAATTGTTAGTCTGTGTGTGTGTGATCAGAGAACACAGTTTAATGAAGCAAAGCAATCATCCATTGCCTTAAAGGTGTGTTCTCACAAGGGCATTATGAACAAGCAGTGCATTGTAAGATGTGCAGACAGTTGGAGAAAAATTTCACCATGTTTCAAAGACAATGCCTCTATATCGCTTAATAATTGGAACCCTGAAATGATCGTTCAATAAGCAGCTAGACCCGAGTGCTGGCTGGTTGCACTCAGAACTACAAGAACAGAAAGACAGAAATAAGAGGAAAATTAGTTATGGTGTCCAATTACAAAATGCAATAAGGAAAAGCTCATACTCATAAACATTTAAGAAATATTTTATCGGCTGTTTATTCTACTATAAATAATTTTGAGCATTTTCCTGTAAAAATCATGAGGTTATACATTTATATGTGCATGCGCACACAAGTATGTCATTATTAATTATATAGATTACTTGTGTTGAGATGCTTAATTTTGTTATTTATTCTAGTGTCTGTGATTAAGCTGGGAATGTTTTATGGAAAAACATAAATCATAACAGTTTAAAATGTGTTCTGTACCTATTACGATGTTGGAACAATAAGAACTGTCTGATAAACTGTCGCTAGCCGCTGTTGACAATTCATATGTCAGTTCCTTGGCTGCAGTTGTAGTCCAAGCTACTTCATCCCCAGGTTAATGTTCTATATTCCGTAACATATGCATTGGTTATTCATATTGTGCCCATGTGATCACACTGTTAACAGTTCCAAGATTGTGTTTGCTGGTGTATAATCTATCCATTATTGTGTAACTTTTGTTGATAATGACCCTTGTAATATGTCTTACAAAGACATTATATTTATGCAGATTAATTTTTATTGAGATGTTAACAATAAGAGTTCTAGTACAATCTGTAATCCTGTTCTGTTGTAATGACTGATAGGAATACTCATATAATAAACATAATAATGTTAGCTCATGGCCCAACTTGTTGATGTGTGTGGTTGTGTTGTTTTACAGCAGAATCTGAGATGCCTGACAGATGTATAGACACTGGTCCAAACACCACACCATTTGTTGTTTCTGATGAATGTGAAAAGAGAATAATTAATAATGTTCTCAGTTGTGTGTGTGTGTGCATGCGCGCGTGTAGTTTAAATGTGTGAATTTTAATTTGGTATTCTGTAATAAGTATAATGTTAATATTGTAAAGTAAATGGTATTTAATTTAAGTACTTTTATGTCATCCTGTTACAGTCCTACCACTTCAATTCAACATTCTCAAACTGGGACTTAATTTTGGCTTGACTGAAAAGCATGAAGAAATCACACTTAAAGCATCCCTGCACTTTCTGTTCCTTGTGTTTATTAACATTTCTTAAACAGCTCGTTGTATTATAAGAAACAGAGGGAACTAGAAAATTGTAACTTCAGCTCAATAGTTTGTATATTTATGAAATGTGTTCCCTGTAATTTTGCACATTTCATACTCTGTAATGTCATATATCATCTTCCCATGTATTTCATTAAGTATAAGCCATATCAAAAAATATTTCACATGAATATTGCAGTGCTTAATGACTTCTGTGTCATGGTTTTGTACGATGAGCCATTTTTTTAGAAAAAGAATTTTGTTGCGAGATTTATATAAAGGAGAGGTTATGTTGGATTGATAAGACCAAAATAAATACAGAGTGCAACTTTTAGAGAATATTACCAATATAAAATGTTGTTAGAATGTTTTGAGTACTTTTGTAAATGAGAGATGTGTAAGTTTTATGTTTTCTATGCATAGGGTCTCAGTATGGAAGATGGCTGTTTTCTGGGTTGTAGGACTGTGCAGTCCATCATTAAGGCCCTGATGATGGAGGCACCAAGACCTCTGAAACGTTGATGGACTTCTACCGGACCTCGCGGTGCTACAACCCAGAAGGCAGCCGTCTTCGGACAAACCTCAAATCCATTTCAGTCTTAGGATGAATCGATGGAAATAAGGTCATATTTGGATCTCCCCACCCCATTCCCACCAAATACTGAAGTATGTTCCCATTTTGTCTTTTGTCTACATAAGTCATAAGTTGCAGTTTTAGCAATTTCCTTCCGTGCTTTCCCCTAGCACTGTTTTACTTATTGTTACACACTTATATTTTGGAACCTTTGTTATTGCATATTTATGTCAGATTCTTTACTGCAGCCTGCATTAACATGTTCATAATTTTGACTTATTCGATTCTCGCGCTACTTTATGAACTTGGTTCTCTGTCTGTACCACTAGATGCCTCTAGTGTGGGAAGAGGATTGATCGTTTGGCGATTTAGTGTGAAGTAGGCTGTCTATGAAGGTGGTTCATTTGTTGTGGTTGTTTCAGTTTGCTTGTTATGTATACTTTGTGACCACGAATGTCAAGCGTTACGTGAAAATATGTTAACCGACGAGAATAAGTGGTGGTGGACCTAAACCAAGTCTTTACACAAGCATTTTGTCATTGGTTTCGGTGTTTATTACATTCATGATCAAGGTTTGGCATTTCCGTCTCCTGCGCTGAGGAATGTTTGTGTGCTTATGCATGATTTAACAATTACTGGTAGCTCTGAAGTTTTCTTATCTTTTATTCCACATATTTTCGTTATTAACTCCGTATTTCATTTATGTTTTTGAAACATGTCTGTTTGTGATATTTGTGTGACGACTTTAATATAGTAGCTGTAACGTTCATTGTTATAAGCCAGTCCGTGGTAGAAAACAATACAGCCATTTGTTGGGGTTTGGAATGAGTTTGGCATACGTCTCCCAGCCGAAACTGTAATACTAATTTCTTCCTGCCTACGAGTCTTCCCGCTACGCTCTTTATTGCACTATTACACGGTGTATATTTAAGGCAAAGATGTTCGAGAGTAAAGAAGGAAGTGCTAATTTTTTGACGTGATTGGAATGCTGAGATGGCCTGTGTTCAGTGAAGCTGGTTGTGATTATGGACTGGAAAAAGTTTGTTGCCTCTTGACTTTTTCATATATTTAATGAATGTGGTTATGTGTGTACCCCGAATTCATAGTCTTCCATTAGTGTTTGTAGTGTTACACATCAGTGACAAATCGCATGTTCAAACGGTAGTGTGTCATAAATACAGTAAGATGTAGATTATCTTCGCATGTAACCATCTTTGGTCGGAAGTATCGATCAATTTGTTCGGTTTCTTTCGGTCAGTCTCGTAATAGTTCGTGTCAGTTCAGCTGTTTTAGTCCGGGCAATGTATAACCTCAAGTGACTAGGATCTAGTCCAGCCTCTATAAGTTCTTAGACCCTATGTTGCTGTGCTCAGTGTCATGCCCCTAGCGGGATTTTTTTCTTTGATAATATCCAGTCACCCACGTGGTTTACTGCTTGTAAAGACAGGCAGACGTTTCGTTTTAATTGGCAGGGTATTTAAAATATAAATAAAAACTAGGCGTCGGAATAGGGTAATCAGGACTTTCATCCCAACTTGGGCTTCTACGGAGACAAAATGAAAACTGCCACTTCGCACGGAACTAAAACTGAGCTAGTCGTGTTTATTTTGGGAAAAGAGTAATGTGTATTTTCTTCCTGCAGTGTGTATATTTACCATTGGCACTTGGCCAACATTGAATTTCATAAGACTGCAAGAAATAAGACGTTGATCTGTTCCTATGGCCGTGGAATACCTCGATATATTACGTTGATTTTTTGACGTCACTGGTAAAATGTTTATTGGCTCGTAAACTGAACATTTCAGATTATACGAACGATATATTTTATTTCCCGTCATAAACCCCCATACCCTGCCTTTGCTTTGATTGCTTTTCTGTAATAAAAATGGAGTATTTCTTTGTTCTGGGTCATAAATTACAAACAAAAATAGGACGTTGTTTCGTTGACGAAGATTTAAGTAATGGTATTCATGAATCATATTTTTTGTCTCAATCTGATTACTAATTATGTCTCCTGTCTTACAAACGTGCCTGGATTGTGTGAGAAGCGATATTTCGAGAGCCGTTAGTCACTTTTTTAACATAAGTCCCTGGAATTAAGCATCTCAGTTTCCTGTGACCTTCAACAATGCACGGGAAATCGTGGCTTCGGTCCGGAAGAAAGGCCACCTTCCGGAACAAAGATGTCGAGACGAATTTCAATCGATATGATTATGTCTGAACGGGACTGTTCGCCAGCAGGCAGAAGAAATGAGTACAGATCGTCGTTACTCAAAACGGTGAGACGTGACTCTTTGTTCTTACGTCACTGGTGAATTATATATCAGGGCTGTGACTATTGTTCACTGAATTACCCCAGAAAGCCAGTCGTGTAGAACAGTGACGAGAGAGAGAGAGAGACATATACAGACATGGAAAGGCACTCCAATAGAGAGTGCATCATTTCCAGTGCATTCTTTAACATAAATCGACGTACCTGTATTCTGGAATAAATAAAATTAACATATTCTGTAAGAACATGAGTATATGATACTATAAGTCTGTGACATTTAATAATACTGCCTCAAATGTACAAATTATATAACAGTGAATGAGATAGGAAGATGATTATGAATGGTAAGTAAGTAACATGTAGGATTTAAGGTTTTCACAGCACTGAGTCTGAAGATGGCTGTCTTCTGGGTTGTTGTGTTGTGTAGTCAGGTAGAAGTTTATCGACATTTAAGATGTACTTGTTGCCTCTATCATCAGGACTCATGATGAGTCGTCGACCAGATGATGGAGCAATGTTTTAACAATGGAGAATAGTGGAGAAATCCCCTGCCTTTTATGGAAACTGAAGGTTTGTTACTATGTTCACAACAGTCCTCCACCAGTCCCTATTCCAAAGCAGGTGCTTCAGTTCACATCTGCATGAAAATCTCTTGAGTCACAAGTGATGTGTGCCCTGATGATGGAGGCATGACAGTCATTTTCATCCGTGGAGTTTATCACTAACCACCGTTTGCAGGAGAGCGATGCGGCTCGTGACGCCCTCGTGATATGGTCACCATGAGTTCCGAGAAGGCGGCCGCCCGGCGCAAGGCAGACTCCAGTAATGGTGGCCAAGCGGGGCCAGCAGCGGGGTCCGGGGCTCCGGTGGCGGCAGCCTCGAACAATGAGGAGTCCCCAAACCTGATTGTATATAAAAAAGTGAGTGGCTGGGATGAACATAATGGGCTTGCTCTCTTAAATGGTTCTGTCTGTACTGAGAAACAAGCATAATTAAAAAAATTAATAATTGTACAAATTAGTGATTTTCTTGAGCATAATTCTTCTAAACTGTATTCCCCGCTACCTGACAGATTTCAGATGTAACATCAGAGTTTACTCTCTCACTCACATGTTTTGACGTCGGTTATATCCTGAGTAGACATCACACTTTCATTTATTTATTTATTTATTTATTTACAAGTTCCAGAAATCCAGTAGTGGATATAGAACACGTCACAAACTCAAGTATAAAAGCATAAAATACATACATTAAAGAATTACATCTAGACAAGCAGCGTACTAAATACAAAACAATATAACTAGTATTTTTTATTGTAATAGTTATCCAATTAGGTACTCATCCACAGTATAAAACGAGTGAGTAATTAGAAAATGCCTTAATGATTTATGTTTCTGTAGATGGAACAGATTGTCGAGAAAATGCAGGACGAAGCATCCGGTGTCCCAGTCAAGACTGTCAAGAGTTTCATGTCAAAAATTCCCTCAGTTTTTACGGGTGAGTAGCGGACATCCTTGAATATTTTTTTTTGACTTTCAGGAATAAGCGACAACAATTTTTTTAAGGCTTTCCAGTGTTTCAACATACTGCAGTTGCCATCTTCAGGGAGAATGTCTGCAAGGGGTATTACGAAGTTCTTAACAAAGATCAGGTAGTGGGTGGTGATTAGGCATGCAGAGCAGAGGGGTGATATCCAATGGGGAGCTGCTACCTGTTTCAGCAAAGAGGTTATTATACATTAAACTTTGATGAGTTTTAAGTGGTCACGCTTTCCCTGTTCCCAAATTCCAGAAACTCTTGCCAACTGCCATGTTTTTCAGGAACATAACCCCCTCATTTGGCTTTAGGTTTCAGTTTGACGATACAGATCCAATGGACTATGTTAAGACGTCGTTTGGGGTTTAAAATCCTTGTTGTCCAGTAATGCTTTCTAATTTTTATCCTGGCTTATAATTTTTTTTTAAGTATAGAAAACATGTTGAAATCTGGTTACTGTAATCATGTCAGATTCTCACATTTTTGCTTTTAGGTTCTGATCTCATCATGTGGATGATGAAGAATTTAGATGTTGAAGATCAAGGTAAGTTCGCAGTGCAATATCGGGGATAGTAGACGTGATGCAGCTAGGATCTGAAGTTGGTTATTTCCTGTACCCTAGGGCTGTAATTATTCTGCAGCCAATATCTTCTTCTTCTATGGCCCCTCGGACAGACGGGCCTAACAGAGGATCGAATCGAAGAGGAGAATTGAGGAGGCCATGGACCGAATACGGACCGGAGAGCCATAGAAGAATAAGAAGTTAATGCAAAGGTTTTCATGGTCTCTTTTTTTTTTCTGTTCCTGACAGCTGAAGCTTTGCACCTGGGCCACCTGATGGCAGCACATGGTTATTTCTTTCCCATCGATGATCACATGTTAACAGTAAAACATGACAACACATTCTACCGCTTTCAGGTCAGTTAACATGTCTGCCTGCTGTGTTCTTTGTGGAGGTGACGTAAACATTTCTCGTGGTGCTTAATTAAGCATGATGTCGTGAAGACGTATGGGGAGTAGAGGTTTAGCTCCACAGATTCTTAATCTTGGCACTAAACACCATGGTTGCTCTTCTCTGCTCTCCTGGAGAAGGGGTCCTCAGTACCTACTGTGTAGAAGACGTGTCCGTATGTTGAGCTGAAGTGAAAGATCTCTGCCAAGCGCTTAGTTCTGTAGCATCTTCAAATTTTCTCCACCCTCAAATTTGCCCAGTTACTAACTCTTTGAATGAATATGGAAAGTAGGCTTTAGTATGAAGATTTCCGTCTTCTGGGTTGTTGCGCAGTGTAGACTGGTTGGGTGACCAGACAAAATCTCACACGAAAATTACCCACACGGAAAAATTCTCACATGGACGAATGCCCATATTCACAATACTATAAGTAATCAGAAGCGTTAACTGGTTACCGTAGTAAACTGACGTTTCGGGAACATATTCAATAAAATTTCCTTGGGCGATCAGCCGCGTTAACTGGTTACCGTAGTAAACCGAAGTTTGGGGAACAAACTCTGTCCCCATCTTCAGTGTTTGTTCCCGAAACGTCAGTTTACTACGGTAACCAATTAACGCTTCTGATTACTTATAGTATTGTCAGTGTGAGCATTTGTCCATGTGAGTAATTTTCGTGTGAGCATTTATGACAGTGAGCTTCTTTCTGTGCGCAATTTTCGTGTGCGGTTTTATCATGGAACTGTATGGTCGATGTTTACCAACGTTTCTGAGGTCATACTGCCTGGAGCCGCCGCCGGCGCAGATCTTGGTGGTAATATGACGGAGGCAGCAACGACCCCTCAAATGCTGGTAAATGTCCACCAGACTACGTGCTGCTGCATACAAGAAGACAGCTATCTTTGTACTCACTACCGTGAGAACCTCAAATCCTACAAAACTTTTTAAATGTCTTATTATTTATATATTTCTTACATGAAACAATATACTTTATGTTGTTGAAAATTGACACTTGTGTTTCATTCAACAGACGCCATACTTCTGGCCATCTAATTGCTGGGAGCCAGAAAACACAGATTATGGTAAGTGGATTGAAGTAAATAACCCGAGGATATAAATATTTTCCCATCTAAACCCCACAGATATGTCTATATTGACATTTTCACAGCTGTGTACCTCTGCAAGCGAACCATGCAGAACAAGACACGGTTGGAACTAGCGGACTACGAGGCAGAGAACCTTGCTCGGCTCCAGAAGATGTTCTCACGCAAATGGGAGTTCATCTTTATGCAGGCAGAGGCTCAAAGTAAGGTGGACAAGAAGCGGGACAAGTTAGAGCGCAAGGTGTTGGACAGCCAGGAACGGGCCTTCTGGGACGTCCATCGCCCGATGGTCAGTTTCATGTCTTAAATGAGTTCCGAGTCCATTTATCTTGCGCTATAGAGAGGGTGTTTCAGACTGTATCGGTTCTTCGAGGAAGGTTCTTTTTTTAAATGAGTAGATGAACATTGAGAAGTTGAAGTGAATGCATATTCAGTATGAATTTTAAATTGTTTGCTTGTGAATATTGTTCGTGATGTACCATATTTCAGCCTGGCTGTGTGAACACAACGGAGGTTGATATTAAGAAGGCTTGCCGGGTAAATAAGCCATTCAAGAGCAGTCGACACTTACAGCTGGGTGTGGCAGGGGGTCGCATATCTCCATCGGCATCAGAAACTGAGTTGGCTAGTCCAACAGAGGCCATAAAACGCCACATAGCCATGTTGAAACAGCGATTGGACCGACGCAACATTAAGATCTCCAAAGTTGCTGAAGCGTGAGTACAGAGTTGCAGAAAATTGTATAGAATCAGTAGTGTCAAATTGCTGTAGAATTCTTTTTTATCCCTAGGTTCTCATCAGGTAAAATATAAAGTTTGATTTGAGGTTTTCACAGCGGTGAGTATGATTTCTGTCTTCTGATATGATGCGCTGTGTAGTATGGTCGATGTTTACCAACGTTTCAGAGGTCATACTTCCTCCGTCATCAGGGCGAGGCAGTATGACCTCTGAAACGTTGGTTAACATCGACCAGTCTACACAGCACAACAACCCAGAAGACAGAAATCTTCAAAATATAAAGTTTCTTCAATCTCTGTTTTTGTAGTCGCATTCCTGATTTTTGATTGTAAAAGAAGCGTGTGTTGTACCTACGTATGTAAGGTTGTATAAATTTAATTTAATTCTACAGTTGTGTAGTATTTTGGCTCTGTACAATTTTTTAGAGAAACTCTGACGTACAGCCAATATAGAATACTAGATTAATAGTTTATTGTTTAATCTTTCACCTATATATGCAGCAGAGTCTATGCCCGGATAACTTATTAATTAAAATTAATTTTACACTGAACCAGGATAAAGCCATTTCCTGCTTTAAATGAAGTTACTTTATACCAAGAAACTTCCTCGGACCGTTTCTTGGAACATTCTAATTTTAGCTTATCCTTCCACTGTGTTTATTCTGACTTTTTCTGCATCATATAAAACCAAGTAACTCTTTGAAACAGGTAAACTTCTGCCAGACTACGCGGCACTACAACCCAGAAGACGGCTATCGTCAGACTCGCTGCCATGGAAACCTCATATCCCACTTGATCCATTTTGTTTGTAAAGAGAGCGTTCTGATGTGTGTGTTTGGCAGGTGTATCGGCTACTTTGAACAATACGCGGAGTATGATCCCTTCTTCACTTCACCAGAGCTCCCTAACCCTTGGATAACAGACAATCTTGAGTTCTGGGAGCAGGAGAAGATAGCGTAAGTTTGTAAGATCCATTTTAATATTGTCCTCTCATCTATGACTAGGTATTCCAAATGGTTTCTTCTCTTCAGGCTTCCCAGCCAAACTTTTTCATATTTCTCATACCTCCTGCCCTGCTTATGCCGTAGTCCTTGATTTGATCATTCTAATGATATTTGGTGAAGAGTATATCATTTAGTTATTCAAGTAAGAAAGTAGTCACTTACATAGTCATTTTGTTAGGAAATTTGTTATTCGTTAAGGAAGTTACTTGGGTGTTTAAGTAATTTGCTACCCACTTATATAATTATTATTAGGAACTGATTATTCATGAATTGCTTAAGCATCAGAGGATTTTCTTTTCCTCTTTCTGCTGATATTTAAGAACCTTGAGTGAGGGAGACAGTAACAGTTCAAGTCAGACATATTGCCACTTGCGGAGCAGACGGTGCTCTGAACTTGTATTCATGAGATACCTGGTTTGAACTTTTGTCAAGTTGTGGTTTTCTTCAGTCTTTCAAAAGAGTGTCAGGGCATTATGTTCAAATAGGCCAATACCACCTCCTTCGAAATCTTATCTTCTTACCATTCATGATCATCAACCCACCTCACTTAGTGTAGTTGGTATAGTACCTTTAGACATTAGAGTTAATCTTTTGTTTGCTGTCGAGTCTGACATTAATGTCCGATGCTGCTGGCTATAGTTTGGTGTGGCCTTACAGGAAGGACATCCCGGCACGAAGGGTAAAGCGCTGGGCTTTCAGTCTGCAGGAACTGTTGCAGGATCCTGTTGGACGAGAACACTTTGTCAAGTTCCTTGACAAGGAGTTCAGCGGTGAGAACCTCAAGTGAGTAGTATGGAGTAGACTGCAGAGATGGGATGTAGGAAATGGCTCAGGATTATGTCTGGTGATGATGCTCTGTTGTCAACGGTTTAGGTTCTGTTAGCAGAGAGATAGTGAATCAGTACTGGCTGCAGGCGAGTTTTGATCACTTCAGTATGTGCAGATCTGATAGTTAAGTGATTAACACTAGAAAAGTTTCTGTTGTGTCGTTACCAGAGATTACATCTGAAGCAAACTGTTACAGGTTCTGGGAAGCTGTGCAGCAGCTGAAGGCACTGCCTCAGAAGGATGTACAAGATAAAGTGGACGAGATATGGACCGAGTTTCTAGCACCTGATGCTAGCTGTCCCATCAATGTGGACTCGCAGTCATATGAAATAACGAAGAGGAATGTGGAAAATCCTGATCGGTGGAGTTTTGATGTGGCAGCGGTTAGTGATAACATGATAGTCACGTGGTTATAGGGTTCCAAATGAAGATCTTATTCTTCAAAGTCAGTCATGCTATAATCTGAGAAGATGCAATAGACATTTGTGTCTGACTATAAAATTAAACTTTACCATTCTAAGTAATAAGCATAATGTAAGATTTGAGGTTTTCACAGCGGTGAGTATGAAGATTTCCGTCTTCTGGGTTGTTGCGCTGTGTAGACTGGTCGTATGAAGATTTCCTTCTTCTGGGTTGTTGCGCTGTGTAGACTGGTCGATGTTAACCAACGTTTCAGAGGTCATACTGATGACGGAGGCACTATGACTTCTGAAACGTTGGTTAACATCGACTAGACTACACAGCTTAACAACCCAGAAGACAGAAATCTTCAATAAGCATAATGTCTCTTATGCTGTTTTTTTCTCCCCACAGGCCCATGTGTACCACTTGATGAAGAGTGATACTTACTCCAGGTACCTGAGATCAGAGATGTATAAAGAATTTTTAAATGGATCAAAGAAAAAGGTAATTATTTATTAGCCTCTGTTAAAAAATAAATTTTTGTGGATAATAACTTTTCAAAAATTGATGTCATTTTAATAGAGGTATGCTTGGCTATAACATTTGAATCTATTTTGTTATGTTCTGCCACGGCTGAAAGTTATGTGAGATTTCCCGTCAGGTGAAAAGATAAGTTCTGGAAATCCTTGACCAATTTAAAGATTCCACTTTTCCTTGCAGACTTCAGTGAAGGGTATCCGATCAATAGTGTCATTCTCAGCCCGCAAAGAGACGGCCACATCCTAGTCTGAGTATGTGCTCTCGACGAGACCCGTCCACAAGGCGGGCAGGTCACTGCAGATGTCCAGCTGCTTTCCTGTTGTGCCAGTTTTGATTGTGTACAGTGTGAATCCTCCAGTTACAACAGGTTTGACAACAAAGGCCATTTCAAAGGAAACAGGAATTATTAACACATTCCTTTAAAAGTCTCCTCCCTCCCTTCACATCGTCACCAATTAATTGGGAGTGAGAAATCCAACTAAGATGTCATGTTGGCAATTCATCACTGTCATTGTATAGACCCATGAAACAAAAATTGTCATTGGAATGAGTGACCAGTGTGATTTTGTGATCATCAGTTATGAGTCCAAAACAAAAGTCAAAATGTACAGCTTATTGATCAAAGGATACTGCTATCAAATTATTTGAGGTATATTTTATGCCGGTAATAATGAACTTATGCCCCTGATATTAAATTTGCATCCTGCTTGGAAATAATGCATTACTACATATTTTCCTGCTTATCATGTATAATTACTGAATAAGGCCATTTACATTTTCCTTATATTTTCTGAGTAAAAGTAGTCAGTCCAAAATTAAGTTTTTTGAAGACAATTTAAATGTTTTCTTATCAGAAGACATGTCCAGTTGTTTTATATTGCAAGTTTCATTGTAACCATCTGGCGTAGTACTGCATTGCTTTTGACAGCTTTAATTCCTCTGAAAATAAGTATCTATCAGTGGAAAGCGCAGGGCGGGGTCTCAGCCACTGATACAAACATTCATTCTTCGATGTTTTCTCTCTGTGCTATTTATTAATGATATTGAAATAAAAATCGATATTGTTTATGAGAAATTAACTATAAAGAACTGACAAATGATATAACCAAAAATGGGGGTGATGTTGAACTGGGAATATAGAATTAATAAAACAACACATCGAGGTAAAATATTTTTACTAACTTAAGGTCAGTATGTTAAAATGTAACTTGCAGATACTTCCATTCTTATGCTGAGTATGGGAATATTTTTCTTCATGCGTATTACTTTGTCGTGCCAGAAGATATGATGTAATGCATTTGTCCTTTGAGAAATAATGCCACAAATAACATTGTTACTAACAGTGTTTGAGTAAAGTGAGGAAATACACAGAAAATTTAAGATTTGGTTTATTGGTGAGGAAGTTCCTTGTGTAGGATGAGAAGGGTACAACACCATAAATAATACGTAGTTCGTTAATATACAGACAGTGTTATAATACAAAATACTCTCATTCTGGCAGAGTTTGAAGTACACGTGTGTACTTACATGTGACTCCAACAAACAAATGCAAAATAAACATTAATTCGATGGCAATAGAGCATATCTTAGGTTAGGTTGCTATAGATACATGTTCTGTGATTGCGGGTGTGGCCACCATCAGTTGTTTTCATTTTCTTACCTTTCTGTAAAGGTTAAATGACCTCAAAGAGGAAAGAAAACTTGTCTGCAGTCATCTCATGATTGTCTTCCACATGTGTGGTTGTGCCATATTCTTTAAAAAAAGGACTGCCTTTGCATATTGCCAAAGATGATATTCAGTGCCAGTGAAATTTTAATAATAAATGGAATACGTTTTATAGAACACAGATATCTGTGTTAACAGATATCTTTATTATCCATCCTTATTAAAAGCAATGTAAATTTGTGTTTTCCATATTGAATGTGTTAATCCCACAGCTGTCTAAATTTAAGAACAAACACTTTGAGATACATTACACAGAAAGTAGTGTGAACTATAAAGGTCCAACCATGATTGAAAGGTCTTGAAATGGCATAGGTTGATTATAAATTCAGAACTACATGATGAGGGAGACAGCAAAACTTCTGAATGAAAGTATACTGAAATGGGTAAGAATAATGAATGGTTTGTAAACACAGCACACTGTGTGCTAAACACTGCCATGATTAACGTAAAGGATATGAGAAAGAAGGAGAACTTACAAGAGCATGGAAGCTCACAAACCTGATGTACACATCGTCCATCTTTCTTTAAATTGTATCTGCAACATCTTTCTTGTTTTATATGTATTAACCTAGTCGAGGTTTTTTCTTGATGCCATAATTAAAAATGTTTAGTCTTGTTCTATGTGATATGAAGAATGCAGATGTGATGTTAACTCTCCCATTTCAGGATAGAAACTTGGATACTTGTAACCCTTCCAGGCAGATCCTTTTGCTGATGATCATGAGTTGACTGTTAACATTTCTTTGCGAATAATATTTATTATTGATTGGATATGAATATTGTTACTTTCTCAGCAATATTTTACTGTGTAAGTTATTGTTTATGTCCAGAAATGGCATTATTAGAGGTATTACTGCATCTCTTTTTTTATTTATTTATAGTGTGCAGTTTTTAACATGTGAAATGAATTGTTCAAAGTAGGGAATATTTCCCTGTAGGAGTAATGTCAGACAGGATAGCAGTTGTCATTTCATATTCTGTTTAGTCAGCGTTTTATGTGTGTGCTTCTACAAAATCATAATGTGGTGATACAGAGAATGTTTGCATTGTGAGGTTGTGAACAGCATCACAGTAAGGTGATTGTACTTAACATTTCCTTGCCCCAACTTTGGGCCAGAACACGTCTGAAATGCCATGTTCTTCATTAGTGCTGTATGATAAAATATTGGTGATTATCTTCTTTTTATATTTTTTAACTTCTGTTAATTCAGTAGAACTTAGTTGTGCAATATTAGCAGACTTCATACTGAACTGTACTGTGATTGGTATCATTCATTATAGTACAATGAGGAAATCTTGATGCCATTAGCAAAACTACCAGTACTTCATTAATAGTAATATATTACATTCATAGTGATCAACTCTTTGAAGCATGAAGCAAATTTAAATAATATTTACAAATTCACTTCATTCCTCAGAGGAAAAACAACACATTTCCATTACAAACATTAGTTAGTGCTGTTTAGGAAATAATTGCTCTTTATTCAGAAAGTCATAGGAAGCCAATAGATATCATATGTGGGCAAAATGCAAGGTTACTGAATGTTAGATCAGGTGGTATTTATAACTGCTGTGGGCTTTTTAATGGTCAGAGTGTAGTTGCTAGTTCAGTGAGCATATTTACTCCTCATATAGACACATTTTGCATGTGTTACTGCACATCATGTTCAATTAGCAGTTTCAATTTGGAATTGGTAAGTGGATTCCATTTTGTTTGTGAGTTCATTGGTTTGTATTTCTAAATGTAATCACAGAATGTTCATACTTCAGAGAGTATGTAAACACATGTTCCAGTTGTTCATTGATTCAGTGAATCAGTACTTGCCACCATATTTGATTTACAAAGAAGGGTTTTAACATTAAGACAGTATTTTTATACCAATATTGATGATTTACATTGTGAATATTCAGTGTGTGTGATTTGATATCCATCCGTAACTTTGTTCCAGTGGGACTTCAATGTGGTAAGTTCTTTATACACAGATTTATATGTATTTGTCATAAAAAAAATCCGTTCCTTTTTAACTGTTAACATTTTGATATGAAGCATAACCTTACTAACTAGTGTATCAGATTTAATTTAGGGATACCTTCTGGCCAACATTAGAAGTGTCATGGTGAATTGGAGAAATAACTTGAATTATATAATGAGTACAGTTTGAATTGCATATAAAGCATGGTTACTGATTCAAGAAATGTTTTCTATCAAACAAAAACAAGTATGTTTCATCATATTAACGTGTGATCAAGCATTAGAACATATATTAAAATATTATTCTGGAGTAAATTATAATGCTTTAAATTAATATGAAATGACAAGTACATTTTTGACATCTATTTTGAAACCATTCAGATTTGACATGGGATTTTAAAAATTGTCTGTTAATATTTGGTTTGTAGTAAAATGTAAACCCTATTAACTTCAGTTCTTTGGTGATGGTTCATGAAATTCATTAATCAAATAATGGGTGTGATTGATTGTACATTGATAAGACAGGGTTACTAACTGCTCACTCCTGTCTGATATTACCCATTATCATGTTCTACCTTCATGTGGCCATTTCAGCAGTCTTATGTGCCAGTACTAGCTGGCAGTTGTAAGTTGTTTATCACCATATTGTCATACAGATTTTAGACTGCTTCTGTTTGCTACAAAGAGCATCTTCAATTCTGCACTTGCTGTTCTTGGTTTATCAGCAACACATCAGGGCTACCAATGATTATTGGTCTTGCACTTTTTATTTTATTTTTTAGGTTAAAATTATTCAGGGCATGAACACATTGGTTTAAAGAAAACAAGATTATGAAGGTAGGAGCATAAGTATTTTTAAGATGTTTTCTGCAATTTTGCGTATGTTTGCTCTAGTGTTCATTTATTGCTAACAGAAGTTTCCTGTTACAAAGCTAATCACACAGTGTAGTTTTCCTTTAATTTTCTTAAATACTCACTTATCAAAAGCTTTTCTTACATGTTTAAAGTTTCAGATATTGATGAGGTCTGTGTCATATTTCATATACGTATCTTTGATACTGTGAACTCATTTTGATAAAAATTTATGAGTATGGGGTTGCAAAATTGAATTGACAATTTTTTTAATTTTTTTTTGTATCTGCAATACAAAATGTGTTTTATTCATTTGTCATTGTACCCAAATTGGAGAGAAGTGTCCTGTGTTTGCATATAAATTGCCATTATTATTGTTGTGTTATATGAGGAATGTTAGATCAATGCAATGTATGGTTATGATTTTCCTGCATCAAATGCTGCAAGTCCAGAAATTATAAGTTCACCTTTAAATGTATATATTTACAACTTTTCTGCCATTATTAGTTTTTATTGCCATCATTATTTGCATCGATAGTTTCATCAAATCATACCGTCTGCAACTCGTAACTTCTGTACTTTTAAAGTAGGTGCCAGTAGACAGGAAATTTCTTTTGTTTTCTTTTAAATCATTCTTAGCCCTGACCTTTAAGAGTTGTTAAAAGTTTTCTAAGTGTCAGTGGGTTGATATGAGTTGGACAACTGCTCTTTGGAAGCACTGCATGATGTTACTATCTTCTCAACATTTTCTCATCTAAGTTTCATGTCCACCTGTTCCCTGCCACTTTTTAACTGCAGCTCCATCACACCTTTGTTGCTTACAAATAGAATTATCTGTACTTAATGTATACATAGGCCTGTGCCTTGTAACAGCAATTCTGGAAACATTTGATCAATAAGTTACGTTAGACTCGAAGCTGCAGTAAAGAGAGGTCATGGAGAGCATCTGAGTTTCAGATGTTAGAAGTGGTGTAGTATTACAAAAATGATCAGTTACTTGTGCATCTTTTATTCACAGAATATTTTAGTAGTTCCATTATTTACCAACAGAGGTCTGTAGTTGTGCTAGCGATCTAAAACAAATACCTTACCTCATGTTTGAGCACTTTTATATTTTTCTGACAAGTCGGAGTTCGGATACGTTTTATGTTAAGTTAATTTAATGAAATGAGTTACTTGTGCTTTTGTAGTAAGCAGAACTTTCTTTTTGGCAGTACACCGGTATGTCATACAGGCATCTTTTTTATTGGTGATATCTGTAAAAAATATAAGAAAGTTCTTCAGCTTTTGTCCTCTAATCTCATTTTGACTAGTCTGATCCTGTAAATTTGGTTTTCTTGAAATCAGTATCGCTGTTACATGTGGACAGCCTGTACATATTTTCTTTCATTTACCTTAATTTGGTGCTCTAACCTTGGTTACACAAGAGACAATCTCAATAATGAGTTGCTTTTGGCTATTTCTTAGCACGTAGTTCAGTGAATGTTGCTGTGTTTGTACCATTCAAGTGAAACACAAGTTTTCTTGTGTTTTTAATTTTGACATAATTTCAGATTGAGCAAATATTTATCAGTCTGGAATTCACTTTACGCAAAGATGGTTTTTCAGGCTGCTGAAAAGGAAATTATTTCACCACATTCTGAGCACTTAAATATAAATTCATTGAACATACAAATCCGTACGTACATATTAACGGTCTCTAGGTTGTGCCAATTTTATAAACATTAATATTTTAGTCTTCTGTTCTTAAATTTATGTGGCAGACCAAAGGTTTCTCACCACTGGTCTAATTGATGTTGAGTGCAATCTGAAACGGAATTTTATTTAAATTTCCCTAAAAGTATATTTTTGTATCGTAATGTTCCCATTTGTCATTTGCACCAGATGATGTATATTGGATATGGTAACTGCCCAAAATGTTGTGCCAATGTTAGAGCACCTAAATAATATTCTTGTATCTTGCCATCACATTTTGTTGATATCACAGTAGTCATAAAATGTTCAATACTCATGCTTTTTTCACACCTAGTCATTGATAATAGTATGAACTGTTGTAGATACTTAAGTTCATTCCATTTCTGTCATTGGACATTACACGCACATAAAGGGGATGGTTGAATGAACCTCTCTGTAACTTGTTGCAGTCCCCTAAGAGATCATGGGTATTTTTTTTAAATGTAAGAAATATTAAGAAGAAAGTGTTGTATATAACTATATACATATTATTAATTAGCTATTAAATGATTTTTTTAAAGTTACAAAAAAAGTTTTGTGTGGCTATGTGATAGTAAAGACAAAAGTGGAAACAAACAGATAATTGAGGACATCAACAAGATGTTTTAATGTGTAGTAAAAAGTAAAGCTGTCCCACTATACGCCATGTAGGCGCTTGGGGAGAGTGGAGGTATAGCTCCTACTGTGTTTACTACAGAAAAATCAGAATTGCACTTGTCTCAAATACAATAAAAGATGAAAATCAAATTATACTATACATGCATATTTTTACTTACCTTTTATCACTATCTTACATTTAATTCAGCCCTACAAGATGGTTTCCAGTCTGCTACATAAGGTAAGGAATGCAACACACCTCGGATTTCAGTGAATTGTCATAATGTAACTGTTTGTGCCTTGTTGTCTATGTGCTATAACAAAACTATTCTGCAGAATTCCAACATCCTGTGTCATAAAGGGTCATTCTGAGTTTTTTTCAAATAAATTTTGTAAGTGCTGAGTGATTCTGAATTCATAAATAACTGTTTGCAATAGAAGGACAAGAGAAGTTAAAATATTTACATCAGATCTTTAATTTGCTTTGGTTATAAGGCGTGCCACATTGTAGACGGACGTCAATATCTCCGTTGACATGTTTGTAACAGCTTCAAGATGATCCTTCTAAGTTCAAAACACAACAGTTATTAAAATTGTTTAATAATTATGTTAGATGGGAACTGATTAATTTGACACTTTTAATATAACTATTATTCTTGCGCCTCTTTATTAAAAAGACTGTCAAATGTTCACACAGATATTCATCTTTTATAATTAAAAGACATTTTACTTATTTTTTACGTGTTTATTATGCTAGTTCATTTACACAGTCACATGGAAGCAATTGTTTCTGAACTTTCTATAAATATAGCACTTAATTTCATGTTTTCTTACATAATCAAAACAAAGTTTTCCTTTCCAGATGATGTCAGAACCCTGAATATTCCGGAAACATCAAGGATTTCAGCGATAGCAAACAAATGTTGGGCTGGAGGGTAATATAAATGTCAGCTCACTTTTTCAGCAGCTATTTTGCCGGGCTGCTTGCCAAGAATAACAAACTTCTTTGCACCACTTAAATTGCTGCCAAATTTCTGTAACAGCAATACTTGACCTGGCTGGAGAATTGCTGCCAGTCGCTGCTCAAGCTGATGAATTTTTTTATTCTTCTCAGCAAGCTGAAATCAAATATTTTAAAACCTATTACTTAT